GTACTTTTTTTTAAAAATTTTTTTTGGGTGATCTACACCCTTTTAAAAAAGGCAACATTTGTTCCTATTATAGAGCTTCTGCACTGTATATCAAATGCAAAATTAGATTTTGAAAATTATCGAATCAGATGGGGAAGAGGAAACATTAGATGATCCTATGGAAATAGATTTTGTTCAGAAAAAAGAGCCAGCTACAAGCGTCGCAACCATTCAATGTAAAATTAAACATTTAAAGATCCCGGCAGCCATGTTGATTCAGGCGCAAAATATTCTATCATGTCTCATAACTTAGCTAAGCGATTAGGATTGAAAATTAATACAGATGAAAAACATAATCTCAGTGGGGAGGCCACAGTACCAACTACATCAATTGGAACTACTTCTGAGGTTTCTATAAACCTGATACCTGGTTGTAGCTTACGCGGAAAATTTGTTATTGTTGAGCATCCTAAGTTTTTATTGGCATTTAGTAATCCTCTTCTAGATAAATATAATTATGATTTACTTGCGTCTAAGTGCGAGTTAAAAGTTACATGTGATGGCAAAGATTTCTTTATTCCAATAACTGTGCGTAAGGTCAAAAATAAAGATTGAAGTAAATTGCGTAACTACAATACAGAATACTGATGCCTTGATTCCCGATCAAATGAATAACTCTCTTCCTAACTCTTCTCTTGACCATATCTCTCGATATAATCAAAATGACCTTAATATAATGAATGTTGACAAAATGATTGTAAACACAACCAATATTTAAGATATACGATTAAGACAAAACATGAACGATGAAAAAATCGAACAAATTTATTTAATAAAAACAAAATTTACAACCCATAAAATGTTTTTTTTGCATGTTCTAATAAAGTTTCCATTGTTGCATCATTTATCGCTGATTAAACGTTACCCAGAACATCATCAATTGTATTTTGATATTTTTGATATTTTCGATAAACTCATTTTTGTTTAATCTTTTCGTCATACTTTCTTTTAGTGCGTTGACATTTTTTTTTTGATTTCGAATTGAAGATAGTCAAAGACATCAAACATTTAGATTGGCACCTTTGTAGACAATGATTGTTCACACGTGAGTATATACACTACAATTATTCAAATTAGTATAGTTAGTATAATCACAATATATGTAATCGCAAAAAATGTTGTAAATGGTTTTCTAGAAGTAACAAGGCCTTTGGAAGGTGACGATCGGTTATTTCGTAAACTAAAGAAGGCAATTTGTATGAGTTAATACCATTATATGAAGTTTTAGTAATCAAATGATACTGATTTCGTGCTTGATATATCTTCGTAAATACATCTAAAAGCAATACAGCACGCTTTCGGGAAAGCGTATGCAATTGCTTCGGTGTATATGGATATTTCATAGAACCTATAAAATGTTGTCGAAAAGTATTATCCTTTCGATGCTGAAAAATAAAACGTGCCTCTTTTTTCAGTTTTTGTGCGGTGGATAATATGTGAAAGGAGAATTTTAGTTTGAAATGAATAGAAAAAAAGGTTTTAAAAAAGTTTAAAATTTTTTAAAAAAATTTAAAGTATATTAAACTTTAAACTTACTATATACTATAATTTGCGTTGTAAATGATGTTAATCGATATTTAACGTTGTAGAACTCAATTTAAAAGTAGTACAATAGAATATAGCTGATAAACGCAAATCAACGCGATGTAAATTTGATTTTTAAGATCCTGATGTTATCTTCAAGTAAAGAAGAGAGAAACTTTAATGGATAAAAAAGTTGAAACAGTTGAGGTAGAGTTTTCTATTATACAAAAACTAAATTTTGGGTCCTTGTTAAAAACGCTCTTTGCAAATTTTAATGGTCAAAGCCCGCACCACGTAAAATCTGATTGGTTCCCACAGTAATATAATCACGTTATCCAATTTAACACTCAATACTGACTGATGTATGATAAAAAATTTTTTTTTATATAGCCTAAGTAACGCCTCTTATTTCTCTGATCAATATCATCCAATCGTATATTCTTCTTTTAGAACTGTACATGCAATATTAATCCTTTTTTACAAAAAAGAACTTATCTTCAAGTAAAAGAAATTGATTTAACGGTCAATGCCCGCACCACATAAAATCTGATTTGTCCCCACAACAACGTAATCACGTTATCCAATTTTACACTAAATACTGACTAATATTTGATATATGCAGTCAAAGTAACACCTGATCAATATCATCCAATCGAATGTTTCTCTATAAAAAAGAACCTATCTTCAAATGAAAGCAGCGGAAGAATTTTCTATTATGCAAAAACCCTTGTTAAAAACGCCCTTGCAAGTTTTAATGGTCAAAGTTCTCACCATGTAAAATCTGATTGGTTCCCACAATAACGCAATCACGTTAACCAATTTAACATTAAATACTGATGTAATCTAGTAACATCTTTACTCTGATCAATATCATCATCCAACCAAATGTTCCT